GACGTTGGGAATTCGGGTAAGTGGGACTTGGGCCCCTGTCTCTTATACACATCTAGATGTGTATAAGAGACAGCACACACACACACACACACACACACACACACACAGAGTCTTGGCGCTTGTTTTGGTGGTGTATGTGATTTAAGTGACCGTCGCCGAGAGTGAGGTTCGAATTGTATCTCTGGGGTGAATATAGGGGTCAGAGTCTCAATTTGAAAGAACCCAGTCTCTGTTCTGGTTTGCAAATTGAAATCTGGTGAATGAGCATATTCTGGTTTGCCAGATGGTACCGAGACTGCGATTGTTTTTTTTTGTTTTTGGCTTTTGTCGGGGGCTGTCTCTTATACACATCTAGATGTGTATAAGAGACAGGCGTTATATCTGCGTTTTCTTTGGGGGGTTGGGGTCAAACGACCTGGGTTTGACGGGAGGGTACCGGATGATCAATAAATTGAATTCTGAAAATTGAATTAGGGCGCATGTCTGGAGTAGTGCAGCGAGGCCCTTACATGATCTTTCCAGTTGCGAATTGTGACTTTCTTTGGGTCTCGACGCACGGCACACGAAACGAAAACGAAACGAGTGCATCTGCCCCCCACAGGTGGCAAAATACACTCGTTACTATTCATAACAAACCGATGAACCTGGCCATTTTCTGTGAGAAGATTCATTCGTTTCGTTTTTCGTTTCGTGTGCCGTGCGGCAACGCCCTTTGTCGGACATAATTCGAGCGGTGACTTTTTTTTTTTTTTTTTAAAGCGGTGACTTTCTTTGTCGGGCTCATGACTAGTAGTGGTTAAATCTTCGTTTCCTTACGAATTTGGTTTGAAGGGAAGCCACGGCGGTAGTTGTGACCCTGGCTCCTTTTTTTTTTTTTGGCAGTTTAAATATCTGTTTTTTGGTCAATTACTTTTTTTTTGGGGGGGGGGGGGGGGTCACTGTATTCATTTTTCAATTGAGTTTTCTCGCTGGTCAGTTCTTGTTAGCAGTCTACATACATTGTTTTTGGTCATTTTCTTGTCGGACACGCTGAATACAGCGGTCCAAACCGGTTTTCTGCGGGAGGGACAGATAACTTTCTTATTTGGACAAATTGCAGAAATACTGGTTTGCAAACGTATCGTACAAATTGATGTGTTACCAAAAAAAAAAAAAAAAAACGTATCGTAGCAACTTTACCGGTCCGCGCGAGTTATTGCTGGCAAGTAATACCGGTGAAGTTGCAGAAATGCCCTTTTTGGAAAGGTTTCTGTGCAGATTTACCTGCCGGTAGACCTGCTTTCGCAACAGGGGTCCCATCGGCCTGGCCTGAGGCAAGGGCTCCAAGGCCCACGGGTCCTCTGTTGCAAAACCAGGTACCGACGCATAGGCGGAATGCTGTCTCTTATACACATCTAGATGTGTATAAGAGACAGGGCCTTACCTGAAGAAGGGCAAGGAGACTCATGAACTTTTCGATCCAGTCTGAGCAGAGAGAGGGAGCTTGATGAGAGTGGTACTACGTTGATCCGCGGCTTCGGGCTCATGCTTTATACTGACTATCCTAGGCCTCCAATCCCTTCTCT